TGCGGTGGCCGGGAGCAGCCACTGCACTCCAGTCTGGGCGACAGAGTGAGACTCCAACTCAAAAACAAACAAACAAAAAAATATCCAATAGAAGAAATATCTAAGCAGCAAAGCATTTGGTCAGCTACATGGCTTCTTCCTTTTTTTTTTCCCTTCTTTGAAACAAAGTCTCACTTTGTCACCAGGCTGAGCCCCTCAACCTCCTGGGCTCAAGCCATCCTCCCACCTTTGCCTCCCAAGTAACTGGAACTACAGACACATGCCACACACCCAGCTAATTATTAAATTTTTTTGTAAATACGGGGTCTTACTGTGATGCCCAGAGTGGTCTCAGTCTCCTGGCCTCAAGTGATCTTCCTGCCTGAGTCTCCCAAATAGCTGGGATTATAGGCATGAGCCACCACACTGACCTGGCTTGGCTACTTTTAATCACATCAAACTGCAAGAGGGAAAAAGAGACCTAAAGACAGAATTTATAATTAAAAGGGAAGCAAAGCAGAAAGATTTGGAAAACTCTTAGCTTGGATGTGGTAGACAATGAAAGAGCATTTCAGCAGAGGAAACCACAGCTGTGACCAAGCAACTGTAAAGAAATCAACATGACTAGAAGGGAGTCAGAGACTATCCAGGAGGGCAGGGGGAGACAGACCCCAAAGGGTGTCAGAGATCTTCAAAGCTGCCCCTCCTAACCCAGGCCCAGAGACCCAGGAGGGCAGCATGGCTTCAGGAGACCAGTCTAAGGCACCTTCCAGGGCTCACTGCCCAGGGCCATCTTGGGACCCTGCTCCCAGCACTCTGGCTCTTGGCTTGGGCAGCTGTAGTTATAGCTCAGGCAGCCCTAAGTGTGGCTCAGCCTGTCATTCTGAAAGGTACAAGTTGCCCATTTTGGTGGCACCTCGCAGTGACAGGCGGCCAAGATGCTGCCTGTGCCTCCACTCCAGAGGCATAACATGGAGCCTTGGCAGACCACGTGGTGCTGACTCTGCAGCCACACAGAATGCTGACACTGGGAATGGCAGCTCCCACAGGGATTCCAGTGGATGTGTCTGTCAGGCAGCGCATGGATCCCTGCACAGACTTGCTTCAGAGGGGGAGCCTTCTTGAGCAGTGCTGAGTGAAAATGCGGGGTGGAAGCTGCCACAGAAGGTCCCGCCGGGGCAGTGCCTTCCGTAGCCATGAGGATGGACGCCACTGGGACTCCAGAACCGCAGAGCTGCCAGCATTCAGCACCAGCCTGGAAGAGCTGCAGGCCCCCACTGCAACCTGTGGGCAGCTGTTAGTCCATGCCCACCCTTCTCCTTGATAATCCCCAGACGTCTCCTCCGATACGTTTCTTTCTGACTTAATGCCATTTTGCCATCTGTTTCTTAGGGAACTCAAATGAGCATGGATAATTTTACAAAAACAACTTATAGGCAGGTTTTCAGAAATGTCACACAAAGCTTGTGACTTTTTCTAGTATAATCATAGTTGAAACACTCATTTTACGTTTCTTGGGGGGGTTCTGGAAAGTTATGTGTTGATCTTTCATGTACAATACCATGGAGTCTTGCACATACTGGGTGTTTGGTTAAATTGAATTATGTCCAGCATGTTTTCTTTGAAGTCTGTTGCTATAAGTCAAAATGTAGTATTTCCTATTACAAAAATTGTAAGAGCAAGCGCAAAGCCATCTTCTGCTGGTAAATAACAAACGATCATTGGATGAATAGAATAGTTCATGGCAAAGCATTGCAATAACAATTGTTAATGATGTAACAATTTGAATGGTATTTCAGAAGGGGACAGTAATTTTTCTAAATATAAGTTAAGAATAGCAGTGAGCTATTAGTGAACCAATGCAGATTGACCAATGAGAAGGAAAGTAAAATGAGTGTCTGATGAGTTCTTTCATTCAATTAATTTGTTCACTTAATCAGTGTAGCATGTCCACTGTGTGCCAAATATTCTGCTGGGCTCTTTCTGTTTGGTGACCGGTGAACCCTGGCACCCTGGCATAGAGTGTGGTATGTCTGATTTGCACATGTCAACAATTACGGAGACAACTGGCTGATGACTAGATGGATTGCAGGTGACTGTCTGTCACCCTAGCCAAACCAAAGGGACTATCTCAAGTTTGATGAGACTCACTTTCTAGGCTTTCAGTACTAGATAACTCTTCACCTTTGAAGATCTGAACTAACTATATGGGATATTTATTAATTAAATATTCACTCCATAATCATACATATCCTGACCTTGCCATGTGTAGCCTCTGTGCCATTGATCAAGATGTAGAGTGAGCACAGTGATACAATTAAGATTCCTGGATCTATAATGATTCCTTAAGCCATTCCTGGCCCAAGAAGATTTTTGGTTGGCATCCTTCTACAAAACCACCAGGACAGGGCTCCTCTAGGCTTTCCCACGCTGAACCTGGCTGCTGGGCACGATGGTGGGCACCGTCTACACAGCCACTGGGATAGGGCTCCTCCAGGCATCCCCAAGCTGGGCCAGGCTGCTGGGCATGATGGTGAGTGTACATCTACCCAGCCACTGGGACAGGACTCCTCCAGGCTTCCCTAAGTTGGGCCCAGCTGCTAGACTTGAACTATAAAAAGAGTATCAAACTACCCATGAGTATGAAACTGAGAAA